GGGAAATTATAAATAATACTGTAAGATATCATCCAATTCGCTGAATACCTACTGCAGTTTGTCCCATCCCCTCTTAATAATCGTCGTTTCCGTATACGGCATTGTTTTCACGAACTCTTGATGCGTTCTCTATCAGAAAGAATTCAATCAAGTTTTCAAAAATGCTTGTCAAAGCCATATCCTTTAAATCCTGGAGCAAGCCCAGAGACCTCGTCCGTTTTAGCTGTGACAAGAGAACGACAGTCCTATCTCGCAGGGGTGTCTTTGAAGCCAAGCCCACCGGCTTATGTAAACAAATTCAGGCATTTGGACATGACACCGGGAACTCCAAAAGTTCCCTGGAGCATTGAGCTCCAAATTCATCAGTACGCTCGCAATCAAATCATCTTATTGGCATGTATTGGAATTTGCAATCCAATCATTTATCTTCCAATAACATTATTGGGGACTCGATCACGTCTCATTCCTGTCTTTCAAAGTAACGACGCGACGAAGAGTACAACTCGCCCCTAAAAATAATTTTGTGTAAGACCCATTACGAGTGGGAACTCTTTAAAGTAACTTAATTGTTTCATTAGTTTCCAGTTACTCGAGTTACTCGGTATAACTATAGGCCTACAGTTCTTCATTTTTTTCTATTTCTTCAGTCAACATCAGGTTTGAAATGAAGAAGTTTAGGCCGAGTAGAGGGATTTCTTTTCGGAGGAGATGCATATAGAGGTCTATTAACCGAGCACACAAACCCTCAAAACCAGCTTCCGGGTTCTCTTCCTTTACATGGGTGTTAATGTCCTGGGAAAATCAGACAACATAACTTTCTACCACGTACAGACTCTTACGACCCCGTCTACTTCCGCTGTCCCCGACCGCATGAACAGAACGGACGGTGTGGACGCCACATCTCAATCTGCGCGTGCGCAGGTGGACATATCAAAGATGAGCATGAAAGTAAAAGGTCACGCAGCGAGTTTCCGGAACCCTATGGGGATTTTACACCACGTACGATAATTTTTAGAAGAATGATTCCTAACTGAAACCACCCCATGAAACACTCATGTTAGAATTTTAGCATTGTTTTCCTCAAGTAATATTTAGGAAAACTCACCTGGGGATGGGTAAGAAACGAATCTCGTTAACGACCTTTCACTTCCGGTGGCATTGTACCTAGGTCTCCTTGTTCACGCAACTTTGTTTTTACTCCCCGTGCTTACGTGAAAACGAGATTATACAGCATTGCAATACCTGCAGATGATAGGTTCTAGATTCCATTGAGTTGACATGGCGCAGTTCTGGTCAGCAAATTAGTCAGATAAATTATTAGAATCATTATCAGTAAATTACTGCTTTAAGTATACCACCTTATAAGTAAAAAAGTGTTAAACACTTCGATCTATTTGTAGTTTGGCTTTTACTGAAAGACTGCCATAAAATTTCAAACTGTAAATGCTCATCTGAGTACAAGACTGGCGCATTGCACTGTTCTTCGTGCATTTTAGATTTTCGGAAGTGATAGGTAAATTTTTGGCAGGATATTTCTCCTTTAGGTCAGGTGATTTATTTAGTTTCTATAAATTGATATACTAGCAAATATTTTCCCAAGCCCCTTTTTCCGAGTTGGATTTTTTAAGAAGTTACTGAACGAAAAACTATTATATATTTTTTTCCTATCTTATAGTTCCGGAAGCGCGCCATCAGGGGTCAACTTTCGGGCTCTATATAGGCCTACGCGAATGAACAACAAGGGGCCTCTCTTTTTTATTCATGTAAAATCGATGTGAGAAATAAGCCACCACTGTTTGAAAACTTCATCATGCGAAATGTTCTTTTTCAATAATGGGGAGAAATTGCCCACGCTCTTTTATAAGCAAAGAAGATCGACCACGTAAGATATCCATTTTCATTTTATTGATCGGCGATCACCTATTCTGTCCGATCGGTGTGCTCATTCTGTATCTGTATTCTGCTTCAGCTGTGCCTTAAAAACACATCCTTATTTATTTCCAATATTTTCTAATCCCCGGTGCTTGTGAAATTTATCTGAAGACCCCGAAGAAATCGCTCTTTACTTACGCCGTAAAAGTAGTCCGTTTCTTGAGTTTCAAGGAGACCCTTCGATGCAATTCCAGTTTATATGTTGCTACGCCCCCTTCACAAAGCTCTAGTCGCTCATTAAAAAGCCCAACCCATAATGCCAGCCGTCTGATGTCACGGTTTTCTGGGTGGCCGGCACTTACGAATGATTCAGGTGAACTTTGGTATGTTGAACTCATTAATGACGGATGGGTCTGTACGGCAGCGTATGGCAAAATGTTGTGCCAGAGGTTGTTAAAAGGTTTTTGAAAATCAAAGTCGTTTTGGGTCTGTCCGTATTAGCGTGGCACGTCGGCAGAAAGCTTAAGCATGGATCGCATTTTACATTAGTTATTGCCATCGTCCTCGAGCATTATTGCTGACTGTTGGTTCCTTGTTGGGTTCCTTGTTGGGTTCATGTTGCCTTTCTTTCCTGCAGACCGCATTTTCTCCTGTCGAAATAAATCTCAAGGGTGGCTCTTTGACAGCAGCAAATTTTCATATCGTGCGAATCGGTAGAATCGGCATCTCTTGTGGTGTGACATGGTTAGAAGTGAACCTGAATTTCCAGTGAGTTAAGCAAGCCCTGCGTGTAGCTCATGGAATCTTCTTTGAAGTGAAATGTCGGAAAGACACATGCATGTTTTTCAGGAATGTTTTGCTCCCGGCACGGATCCAGACGGGGTGTTTTTTGGGGGGGGGGAGGGGGTTCAACCCTCCCCCCTCATTGTCGTTAAAGGTTGCAAGCCACCCTAAAAAAGTGAAAAAATAAAAAAATACCAAAATAAACTCTGTAGGGGTCTTATTTTGCGTGTCCAGTTAATGAAAAAACAAACAGATTAAATGGCTGCAACAACAGTGACGAATACAGTAAACCCTCCCCAAACGAAAATGTAATCGAAAAATCCTTCCCAACAAAAATCCTGAATTCGCCCCGTCCTCCATGTGAGCCTCGATCTAAACCAAGAGAGGGCGCAATTTTCTTAGCAACGGAGGCTCCTTTGGTCGGAACTGGAATTTTCCGGTTCATCTGCCTCACGTGTGAAATGCACGCGTGAAGGGTCCTGCTCGAGGCGGTATTACGTCACGAAACCTACCTTTAGTAGAAGCATGCAACACAATTATGATTTTAAGCATTTTTAACACAAAGTTCAAAGGGATTTCTTCTGAGTTATAGGACTAAACCTAAACGATGAAATTCCATGCCGGTTTGATGGAGGAGGTACCGTGGTAGCTTGAAGGCGGATTTAGCGTTCTTGAAATAGTTATGTCTATTGCCGGAGACGAGCCACCGTTCGCCCGTTGTGTCACGCCGTGGGCATCAGGTTTAATGCTGGGAAATTTCTGCATCCCAAGGCGTTTGGGAAACAAATTCGAATCTTTGAAAAATATTTTTATACCCATTATCACGTGAAGTCTGCTCACTTTTGTTCCCTTGTAGAAATACTGCAGAGGCAGCCTTACACAAAATTGGGGGCGGGTGTGGGCGGTCAATTTGACTGAGTCGCAGCAGACTAGAACGCCCCTACGTAGGAGCACTTTCCCTGAAGCAAAGAGTCTTGTACCATAGTTACTCTGTTCCTTGCTCTGCTTTTACCAATGACTTACTATACCGCGTTCCAGATACCCAATTCCTTGGGGACCCTTCAGGGGGCCGGCCGTGGGCTGGCATATAGACCACGGTTCCCTCTAACAGCGGAGTGCACTTGTGGACGCCCGAGCTTTGCCCGTGCCTAATGGCCTGACCCGTTTACTCGAACAGCCTGTGATGTAAATTAATTGTAGAATTTCAGGCCCCGCCGTTGGCTGACCAGAGATGGGGGGGGGGGTTGTCGTCAAACCCAAAAGGGGAACTTTTGGCGCTGTGAATACATATTTTTATACAAAGGCCTATCATAATGTGCTTTGGAACAAGTTGCATGTTTGTCGCGAACCGAAGGATGCATGTAAGATTGGTACATTTCAGTTTTCAATATTCAGGGCTTGTCGTAAATTGGCCTGGTATATGAATTTGCTCGCCACCCAGCACCTTGAATCAGGCGGCTGGGTGTCGAGCGAATGATGTGAACGTTATCATCAAAAACTTTCAGAAAATCCCACCAAAAAATTAGACGAAAATTGATAAACTAGTAAATAATTATTACCTCCACTCACTTACCATAACTAAAAATTAAAAAAAATATATATATATATATTATGGGTCGCAAAAATGTATGTATTTAGCAGGGCGCGATTCGAACTTTCTCAAGTCCTTGGAATTAACGATATGGATATGGATATCGTTCATTCAAGTATGCATCACCATCGCTGTGGAACTCTCTCCCACACCATATCAGAACTGTCAAAAATGAAAACGAATTTAAGTCACTACTTAAAACTCCCCTGTTTCATTAATTGGTTTATTTCATAATATTACTGTGAAGCGCATCGAGATGTGCTATGTGATGTGCTATATAAGAAATGTGTTATTATTATTATTTTGGCGGGCTGGATTAGTATCCTTGCTGGGTTGGGTGGGCCATGCGGCAGTTCTGCTTTCTTTACCAGATTATGACCAGCGAAATAATAAACAACATGGATAATACAACCGTAAAAGACAAAAATGAAGAGACGCGCCACACGAGTTGTCAAGTGTGAACGGTACGTACCGTAGCTCTGTGGCCGTTTTCCAATCCTCAACTTGATGTTGAAGCTGTAAGCGCAGTAATTAGTTTAATAGTGCCACCCAACCCAACGCCCCCCCCCAAGCCTAATGTTCGTTGGTTAGAAAAGACACAGTGGTTGACTTAAATATGCGAAGAATTTTTTAACTTCGGAAGTTAAAATAAAATTAAATTCTGCCCTCTCGCGGTTGGACCGATTTTGCTTCGTTTAGCTGGTAACCGGTAACATACAATTCCTGCTCTTCAGCCAAGACGCTGTGTGACTTTTTGCGAATGGATACCAGCAATTGTTAACTGACGCCACGACGTTGACTGTTTTTGCGATTTCCAGGGGTAAGGAATGTCACCATAACTTCTGTCAAATTTCATCAAGTTCCGTTGATTTCGATAAATATTTAGCCTAGGATTGACCGTTAGTATATCGGGGCCTATTTGGCTTGATTTTTGGTCTCGGAAGTGGCTTTGTTTGTGCAACTTTGTGCAGGCATTGGTAGGGCGTAAATTGCACATTTCGGCAAAGTACCTGTACGCAACTCTAACTGCAACATTGCACTCAAAATATATCTTCATTGGGGTATATTAAACATCTTAAAGTTAACCCTTCCCGCACACGCACACAATTATAATCTTTTGTAGCGGAGAGAGAATACAAAAGGTTATATAATTGTGTGTTAACATGATCATGTCCCGATTTGGAATAGAATATCCTGCAACACGCCTGATCCTCCTCTTGTACTCCTACTCCTAGGGTGAATCTTTCCCAAAGGGGGTGTATTAATAAACCTTGTCGACGTTCGCAATGCATTTTGGGTTTGGATGACATACATGCAATGCATTTTATGCACAACCCCATGGGAGAAGTGTACCCGCAAAATGTTAATCTGTTTCCATTTTATTTCATACTCCAATTCAAGCCACCCCCTTCTGACAAAGTGTTGCATTATTGATTTGGAACGAAGATATTCAGAAACTTCGAAGTTTAAAGCTTGGCAGAGAAGGAAAATTCCTTCCAACAACACCACTTTTTGTCACGGCCCGTGTTTTGACTAATTCGTTAATAATAGATGTTCTAGTATTGTCCAGTCAAAATTACAAATTGCAGGTTATTCATCCCGCTTTGACCAGTCACGTTCATTTTCAGCCTGTAAAGTGACTGATGCCCTTAAAAAAGGCAATTAAGGATGATTTGTTTTGACAAATATTTGAAAATGTATTTGACAATCTCTCTTGTATAATCTGACAGTACGCATGCATCTGTGAGTTGATGAGCTGATACATAAAAAATATTTAGCAGAAAACTAACTTAATTTTTGACTGGTTCACTTCCCCCCATAGGGTTGTGCATAAAATGCATTGCTTGTTTGTCATCCACACCCATAATGCATTGCGAATGTCAAAAAGGTTTATTATAGGATTATCTGATGTGTTTGGTGCATGAAGTGTGGGGTAAGAGCAGGAATTTTTGATCAGGAGGAGAATTCGACCAACTGCACTAAAAAACTACACAGCTAGTCATATTTCTTGCTTTTCTTATGTGGTCCAATACCCCTACCTTTATCTATAACCCTAATTCCTTGTTTAACATCACCGCCCAACTGGATATGGAACATTCATTGAGTAGTCAAAAGACTTTAGAAGAAAGGTATTTTTAGACTGTCTGAGAAGTCTGGAAAATACTAACTTGAAATGATCAAAGGTCCTCCTGGCCCAAAAATATAACTTTGAGTGATGATAAACAAGGAATTTTAATTGGCCTTAGCCATTTATTTGTTCATTAATGTCAAGAGCTTGTGTCATTAAAGCTCCCTGAAAAACAAGAACTTTGTTTCACTTTCTAGTGGAATTTTATTTGTAGTCAGCTTTAAACTCGTTTTAGTTTTAGTAAACTTGTTTAGTCTAAGTCATTTTCCCATCTGGAGGGCAACTTTTTTTTCTGAATGATGACTAGTTCATGTTTAATTTTGGATTTTTGCCCTGCCCGACTTGTATTAAAACACTGCATGCTCAGTGTTTGCCCTCGAAGGCTTGTGAAAAACCACAAGCGTACTCTGGTGGGACTCGAACCCACGACTTCCTGCTTACTAGTGCATACGTCGTAACCACTCGACCACCGAGCTTGCCGGTGTTAGCTGGTTGGTTCGAATCAGATGTAGCAGTGGGTAGTGCGAACAACTGTTTCCAAGGATGGCTTACGCACTGGGGAAATGTTTTACCCAGAGTATACAGTGTTATAATTCACGTCAGACAGGGCCAAAAAAAATCCAAAATTAATTAACATCTCCCTGGCACAGAAATCCATCCTTAGAAACAGTGGTTCATGTGTGTTGTGGTCACATTATGCACATTAGTGGTACCAGCTTACTGGAATCAGTGAGTGGGAAAGAGTTCCATATACGGACACCACTTGACACCCTGTGCACAAACCCAGGTGACTGGTCTGAAAAATTCTCAGTGTTTTCTAAATAACAGCTTTGTATTTTCCCTCCTAAATTGAACTTCTTTGGACATGTTTTTGCTTTGTGGTGGTTAATAGGTCACTGTAGGGAGTAATTACATGCACTGGCGTCCGTTTATGGACCTCTTTCCAGTGAGTGCAAATTGAATATGTATACCTGAGGAGACTGATCTTCAAAAGTTAAGGTGAAAAACATGATCTTGACCTCCAAATGGGAAATCAAACGGTTCACTAACTCAAGTACATGTATATATTTTTTTTATTAAAAATTCAGCCACTCAGAAAACAATCTGGAAATGGAAGCTCAAATGAAACCTTACTTTTCAACATTTTTGGTAACATCAGCTTGAATTTAATATTAACACTCACCCCAATGATAAAAAGAACCATACATGTATTTCATTTGGAAAACCTCAACTGGGTTGCACTTGTACAAGGTCAACTCCCAAAAGTATACTACCAGAGTGAAGTTATCTGGGAAACACATTAACACTTTTTTGTCTTATTGTTCTTCCAAATTTAATTTTTTTTGCTATTATTATCTCCACAGCACACACCCACTTTGTTTTAAGGAGTCTTGCTTGGGAGACACACAAACAGGATGGCAGAAACGGATGGCACTGCCCAACCCACATTTCAGATATCCTTGGCTCAAGATGTCGAGCCTATACCCCCGTCCACTAGTGGGGATTTAAAAGCAGAGGGCGCTGTGATCGTCCAGGGCATTATCTCCGGCGAGCAGTTTGTGTCCCCTGAGCTGGCTATGCAGATCAGTCAGGCCGGGGGCCAGGTCGCCGCCGCAGAGAGCATGACGAGTAGTTCAGCGCCAGTGGTAGTGCAGAGTTCTGTGATGGGAACTGGCCAGACCACCGACGGGGAGCCAGCCTATGGAGCAGAGCAAATCGGCATGCACGAAGTGGCTGCCGTCGTTGAGAGCCTACCAGGGGTGGTCTCACAGCATGTTATGGTCGACATGTCCAGAACGGCCCCAGAGGGGCAAGATGTGCCTATAGATGGTAATTTCCAGCAAGGACATGTGATCAGCCAAACCACACCAGATGGAGGTAGGGAAAAGTTCCGAGTATACTGCTGAGCATATCCTGGGCAAGTTCAAGCATCAACTATAGCTGACCTCTGAAGAATGTGCACACACAGTGCCATCACACTTGAACGACCGTAGTCAAACCATTTTGGGAATCCCTTTCTTACATCTTGCTGTTCGTTGCCATTCTCTCTGTGTTCACAGTTTGTGCCATCTTGTTAAAATATTTTTTAGTCAAAAAACTCGAGCTCGGGTTCGAATCCCACCCGAGTACGCTTGTGGTTTATTCACAAGCCTTCGGGGGCAAACACTGAGTACAGTCGAACAGGATTAAAACGAGCACGCTTGAGACGAGATCGCGCTTACTACATGTATGAGCATATTTGTTCAGTCCCGTTCAAAATTTACACATTCCTATGAGAGAAAACTTAATACGAGCTGTGCAAAGACGAGAATACCGTCAAGATGAGCACTAACCCGCAGTGCCAAAACCATTGTTTGTGGCATTTTTACAAGTAAAGTTGAAAATGCCTCTTCAAAAGTTTAATCCAAGTAAATCCTGATGGAGCGCACTGAAGGAAATAAGAAAAAAAAATTGATCAGCAAATTCACTCATCATGTTGTCATTTGATTAGCATTATGATGACACTGACAAGCAAAAAATAAAGGGGCCCAATTCAGAACCATTATACCATGGTGTACAGTTTTAATATCCACTGATGTGTACACCAAGGCTAAACACTGAAACAACACACAGGTATGATATAGCATGGTTGTTGGTTGTGGCTCTGGCCAAAACTTGGGTGGAGAAACAAATTTTTACACAATCAAGGGGAGAATAAACAAAAAACCCACTATCAGCGAGTCCTTACTCATGATTTTTTGGGGTGCCATTTTAGCTCCTGAGATGTTCTACATTTGACCTAGAACGGTTGGTGACTTACATGTACACTTAAGTCAAATATTTAACCAGAAAAGGGAAATAGGTATGCATGTACATCACTGCAAATTACTGGTACTGATCAGAAGTCACTGGACAGAGTCGGTGCTTTCATTGAGATCTGGTGAATGTTCTGCAGAATTTCGAACAGCTTTGATTTTGGCCTCTTGCAAACTACATACATACAAATTAGTCACTTAACAACATTAATTTAGGCTTACATCGTCGAGGCTTTCTGCTGCAATACCCAACAATGAGAAAACAAAATGTCGAGCATGATTCACATCTCAGGAGTTGTGGTTAATGCCGCGTGTCTAAACCCACACATGTGTATACATTATTCATGTACAGACAGAATTATGCACTCACAGTGGCCTAGGTAAGTATACACTTTGGACGCGCGGTCCGAAAACTGCTGCCTCGATAGGCCACGCCTACAGATGAATAAATCATGCACCCAAGGTCAAAGGTAAACCTAATACAGTTTGACAATGTGCGCCGGCATTACACAAGGTTCACCATAGGACGAGGTTATTTGGAAAGTCCCTCCAAGCTCGTATTAACCGTGTTCAACTATGCAGTGTGATGATACACGTCGGGCAGGGCAAAAATCTAAAAGGAATTAGTCAATGGGTAACTTTGTATTGAGCTACTGCAAAGGCTATGATGCTTCAATACCGAGGGCTTAGTTCCAAAATGGGCCACTAAATAGTCCAACCACCCATTGTTCAGGTGGCATTGGTTGAACTGTAGGTAACTATAGTCGTTCCTAGACTTGGCCGTAGGCCCCTTGATCACAGCAATAACAAAATACTGAAATAGAGAAATGCGAAGGGAACTTGTGTTAATAGTGGAAAGTTCTTTTGAAAAGTTTCAAATGCAAATACGAAAACGTATAAATACAAGCATTTTGACGTGAGAAAGAGATGTTGAAAGGTGTTTTGTGAAGAAAGAAAAGATAACAGAAGTTTTTGATTTTTTTAAATTTGTTTTTCGTACTTGCTGGTAAGAATGTTAGGGTCACACCGAAAAATTAGAGTCGGTCGGGAAACTGGAAGCAGAAGTTTTTTTTAATGGCCTTTCCAAATGTTATTTTGAGCAGTTAAAGGATACAAGTCTACACAGGAATATTTTACTTTAGCCATGGGAATGGCCACAATTTAAATGGTTGTGACAAACAACAGTTCATGTCGGTTTCTGTTTTTTATTTTAAGTTGCAGGTGTCGAGGTAGACGGTGTTCCAGACCAGATGCAGACGAGCAGCGCCAGTGATGGACATGATGTAATCATCGAGGTCCATCAGGTACCAGACCATGATTTGCTCTTGTCCATGGCTGATGCAAATCCTGAGAGCGAGAGGGCCGAAGCAGAAAATGCCGATGCCACAGTGGAGACAGGCAGGGAACCACTAAAAGATGCTATTGCTGAAGTTGAAAGTATCCCTTCTGATGATGCTCCTCAGCCCAAGGAAGGCCAAGGAGAGAAGGAAGCAAGTAAGGAGGCCAAAGAAGTCATCTTTGTCTGCATTCACGGCCAGTCTTTCCGCTGCAGACCACAAGCCGGCATCCCAGTGGACGATGAAGTCAAGGAATCGCCGGTGGAAACCTGTGCCTGCAGCAAGATAAAAAAGTCCCCCACTGTGGTCAAGAGACCATCTCGAATGGCTGTTGTCAAGGGAGGTAAACTGGCTCGGAAACTCCGCAATAGGCAACAGTTGTTCACCTGTGACACGTGTGGGGGTAGATTCAGCAACAAAGAAGCCCTAGACCTTCACATGGTCGCTCATGGAGATGACGACAATGAAGATAGTGAAGATGAAGAAGACAAGGCCGATGAAGAAACTACCCAACAAAGAACAAAAGTGGTGACAATGCAGGGGAGGGCCCAGCGGAGGAAACCAACCCAGGAAGAAAAGGCCTGCCCAGATTGTGGGAAGGTGTTCTCCAGACTTTCTGCTCTCGGAGCCCACAAGAGGCAACACAAAAAGGAAAACTGAACCAGTCCCTGGATGAGGAAGACCCTACGCAAAAAGAAGACAAGACCAAAAACCTGTCCTGCACTGTCTGTGAGAAGAAGTTCACCAGGATGTACGACGTTGAGCGTCACATGGAAACCCACACAGACAGCGATCGCAAGAAGTGCACCTGGTGCGGCAACAAGTTCCACTCCATCAGGAGCAAAGAGCGACACGAGAGCCTGCACTGTAAAAGGAACAAGCACAACAAATGCAGCCACTGCGATGTGGTCCTGAGCAGCAAGTTTAAACTTCTGCGGCACGAACGGGAGCACTTGACGTCCGAGCAGATCGAGAGCCTGTCCTGTAAAAACTGCAAGAAGGCGTTCACCAACCTGCGCAGCCTGATGCGGCACGAGAAATTGCACCTGAAGGAGAAGGGTGCCGTCCTGCACTGCAGCCACTGCCCTGAGACGTTTGAGGACAGGTTCTCCTACAACGTCCACGTGAAGAACCATGCCGTTAAAGCGTACCAGTGCGATCTGTGCGGTATGAAGTTCAAGCACGAGTACCTCTTGAATGTCCACACCAAGCGCATGACCTGCCAGAAGAAGCGTCAGAGCCTGCAGGACGTCCAGTGCAACATCTGCCACAAGACGGTCAAGGGAACTGCCACGCTGAAACGCCACATGCGCACCCACACCAAGGAGAAACCCTACCCCTGTCGCATCGGCTGCAATGCTTCCTTCTCCAGTACCAGCAACCGGCTGAGCCACGAGCGCATGTACTGCAAATTGAGCCCGTCTTACCTCTGCACCCACTGCGGGGAGGTTCTTTCCAACCAGGCCAGGCTGATTTACCACGAGAGCAAGTACCACGGCATTGGGCCCCTGGTTGGTGGCCAGCGGACCTCAAACACCGAGTACCCATGCCGTCACTGCGGCAAGGTCTTCTTCTTTAAAGGTGGTCGCAAGCGCCATGAGCGTATCCACACTGATGAGAAGCCCTACATGTGTCAGTTCTGCCCCAAGGCCTTCGTGCATGCCAGTGCCCTGGTGTGTCACGAGCGGGTTCATACCAAAGAGAGGCCCTACGTCTGTAAAGAGTGCAACAAAGCATTCTCCCAGGCCACTCACCTGAAGACCCACATCCGTGTCCACACAAAAGAGAAACCCTACAAGTGCCGCTTCTGCGACAAGGCCTTCTCTCACATGGGCACCAGGAAGAGCCATGAGGGGACCCACAAAAGCACCACTGAACCCGGACCGCAACCAGCCGTTCCCCAGGAGCAGGCAGCTGCCAAATTCCACATGCCCCAGCAGGAACACCACGTGGTGGTGCACCCCGAGATCAAAGTTATCCATCATGACACTGAGCCAGTACCACACAAGGTTCATATCAGCCACCACGAGCATGAGGTACAAGCGGCAGACGTTATCTTGCAGCTGCTTGAGAGTGGCAGTAGAGTATCAAACTTTGAAGGACTGGTGCACATGGCATCCTCATAGTCCTTGATCTAAGTTAAACTGTTCATTAGTAATTCATTAATTTCTTTATCATTCAAGAGCTGTTCTCAGGCAATACCTTATTAGTGACTTCATCTTTTTCCCCCACTCTTTGGAAATCCATTGCAGGATGTCAGTATTTTTATGAAGTTGGGACTGGTGGGTTATCATTTCAACAAGGCACCAGGAACCGATGCGAAGACCTTACATTCCAATAAAAGTAGTCATACGTTGTCTGTGCCATACCCGAACATATCCCGATGCACGTGCAGTGTGTCCCATTAAAAAGATTTTCATAGCAGTGTAAAAAAATATGAATATCTTATATTCACATTTTACACAGAGCCTTCATAGACTGTGCACAGCCACAATCATGCGTAAAGAGCTGAAACTCTGCCAAATAATGCTGTGTCAGAATCTAGAGCTAGGTCTAGATTTGTCCCCCATTGATAATATGTGGAGACATCCTGACAGTAGGTGTAACCATATCTCTGGAAGCCCATTTCAAACACTGCCTGAGTTACCCTGTTCTATTCTGGCAGTTTCTTCCTTTTTTTTTTTTCAATTTTTTTGTTCTAGGACACTCAGTTGGCAGCTCTAACACTTTTCATTCTGTGAGGCCAGGGATTTTGCCCAAACTCACAAAGCAAAAACATTCCCACCATAAGAATTTCAAACTCAGCTTCACTGTCAAAGTTTTCTTTGTTCAACCAGAAACTGAAACAATTGATTAAGCTACTCTGTGTCAAAGTTCGGCATCAGTTTTTTTTTCAAGGCACAAACCTGAAGGGATTACCTTCAAAATCATTCAAAAGTTGTACATGTATTTAGGAGATTGAAGATTTTACGGTTATGTGATTGAAATCGTAGACAATTTGTATTAAATTGTAAATATGACAAACTAAATTGGTTTGAACATGCTGTTCCAAGTATATACATTGAGTGGCATTTGCACTCCTCAAAAATTAAACTTCACATTAATTTAGCATACATGACGGGTGCGCACCCAGGAATTTTTCCCGGGGGGAGGTCAGGCCGGAGATTTTTTAATGTCTCTTTTTGCAGACAAGTGGAAATGATGAACATCACACGACATACACTGCTTACAGTGGTATTGGTGTACACATAATCTGCTAAATGTTATCATGTTTTTGAATTGACTTGAGTTATTTTATTATTTTCACATACTGTTTAACCTTTTTGGTTTTTGTCTTGGGGGCGGGGGGGGACAGTTTGACTCCCCCTGCCCTGGATCCGCACCTGCATAAGTGCTACATTTATGTACCTACATGTACTGTACTTCAAATATGCATGTATATACCAAAGTGTTTGGCAAGAAGCACATATGCAGGCTCTTCATTTTTTTCCTCTTAATTCATATGCAGTAGTAAAAACACTGAACATATTCATGGCTAGCTTACAAAAAATTGCTGATATATTTCAGGTTTTCCATCAAGGTTTGTTTGACGGATTTCTCTTAATGCATGCTTTTATGCCCATGTATACAAGTACATGTATTCTCAACTTGGTAGAATGTATGGTATGTGGCACATAACATAAAACAAGTATCAGGGATAGGCTCAGTTGGGGTATTTAAAGTTTCATGTTCATTTAGTTCAAAAACACTTCTTGAAATAAAACCCATGGAAATCAGTCAGTTTTACTAGATATCAGACAGAAACGGTTTTAAATGAATTGCTTGGATTATGCTGTTACTTTGGTGTGAATGACAGTAATTCTGTGATCGTATGAATTTTGTAATCTGGTTGAATCCAACCTACAAGAAGCTGGTAGAGTTGTCAAGTACATCTTGGGCAAATTACGCGTGTAGTAACAGTTTAAGCTGAGACTGGGAGATTAGTATGAGGCTAGTCCACTGTTGTCACAAACTCATGCGTGTACAACTCCATGAACATTTTGAACTATGACGGACACAACAGGAGGGGGTAGTTTAGGTTAGGTGAAGTCTTTGTATTTATTCAAATTTGCAAACTTCAAATAGCACCCTCCTATTTCGCCTGCCATACGTGGACTTCAAATTAGCTAAAAAGTACAAGCAGAGGGAACTTTGTCTTGTGGTTGAAAGAACATTTTTATGGGTGCAAGTAATAATAGAAACAGTTCTTTTAAAGTGCATAATACTATAAAGTCTCTGTCCACTGTATTAGTATGTGCATGGAAAAGCAGTAAGTACAAACATGTCCAAGTAACCCAAAAATTTGAAACGCTCCCCCCCCCCACAGTGCGCGAAATTTGTCGACCCTTTCCAAACACGCATTGGGTTACGATTGGCCAGCGTGTTGCAAACTCTTGGTGGCGTGCTATTGTGAATCGCTGGTATTGCTTTGAACAAAATCTGGTACCAAAAAACCTGGCCAAGTGTAAAACATGCATGGAGATGACGTGGGGCACATGTTGTACATGTAAGAAAATGTAAAGAAAAGCCCCAGGGTTTGAAATGAGACAATGCAACCGGGTCAGAATTATTGTAAGAGCAGAGGTTTGAGAAAACACTTGCAAGGATTGAACAATTACCAAATGTGATTGTTGTATATGAAGCAAGATATTGGACGGAGAGCAACCCCCACCTTTGGGTTGGTCATAGTTTGATCGGAATCTCAGGAATTCTTCTCGGACGTCTAGGGAGATGTGTTTAATAGGTACATGTACATGTAACAATAGAGTGTGTATAGGGATTGGACATGTGGGAGGGGATACCCCTCCGTTCCGTATCTTGTTGGGTATATGTGCATGTGACTGTCAGGATAAGAAAGTAATAAGAATTGAGAACAGTATAGAAAAACAGGTGGAAAGAAAGTGGTGTGCATAGTTTGAAGTAGATCAACGTGATCACATCAAAATTGGGGTTTTTATTCCTTACAAATGATGAACTGGCAATAAAATTTCTGGAATGTTTTAGGAAGGAAATGATCCATTTTCAAAGTAATCATGTATATGTAAATATTTTACATTTCTTGTTATTCTTTATTTTGCATTGCCGCTCTTTTGAAAGTACCGGCTGCATTTCTTGAAGTTTTAGAAAATGAAATAAACTGACACTCACCAGCAACTAATTTCTGAGTGTTTTGAAAGTTATTTTACTTATCAATCTCTTTATCGCAGGCCTTTTAATTTTTAAGGGGCGGCTTTAAAAACCATTGGAGTTGAACTGTGCAGCTAAAACAAAAATGTCACGAGCACTCTAAAATTGATGCTCTTTCATAAATTTGCCGGATTTTTGTGGTAAAATTACTGTGTCAGTTTCACCCCACCCACCCCATTATGCCCCACCCCTAATTGGTACATGTTGTACTGTACATTGTACTAACTATAAAGAGCAACTCGAAGGAAAACATGCTTTACGTCTGCAGGGCCAATTTCATAGTGAACATTTGTTTAAGCGTGAAAAAACGTTGCTTGGCGAGCCAGGTTACTAGCCAAAGCTTCTTGTGATGTTCATTATAGTTTTGGTATGGTACACACAATTTTGGTTAGCATGACAATCACATACAAGTTTATGAGCTGATAACCTTTCCGCGCTTAAGCAAATTCTGTGCTTAAGAGCTCTACATGTATAAAATCGGCCCTGCAGATTGTGAAGCATGCGTGTGTTACATCCACAATAAGTTTTAAGGCGTCCCCTCCCCCGCACTTTTGTGTCTGCCCGCCCTTTTGTGGTGGCGATCGATCGGGACGGGTACCAGTACAACCGTGCTTTCTTGTTTGATGCATGCAAATCTGGGACAGGAAACCAGTCGAATGGCGTTTGAAGTCTTGTGCAAAGAAGTGTGCTGTCCTGGTGATGGTCCGTGAGCAGGTATTTTGTGGACAAAATTTAGGGGTAAGTTTGGCCAAACTGTAAACTTTCTTGTGTCTAGAGGGGCGTGTTTTCATTTAAGGCAACTTTCAGAGATCGACTGGAATAAGTTATGGTCGCTATTAAGTGTGAATTATGCTGTTACAGTGGCCGTAATTTTGGTGAGCCAAAGTGAGGTTCGTTGTTGTGTTGCACCACAAACCAGTCTAGTAAAAATGCGCCGCATTTGGAAAATGTGTACGGTACTCCAAACGCCAATACTCCTACAGTATGGTAGCCTGCTGTTTTAATTTTTGGTGCGGGTCCCACTTTGTACCGCTGACCAGGGCATGAGGTTTATGCAGAGAACTAGAAGTGATGTCCTTGTTTCTATGTACTGTCCAGACAATGCTTGATGCCCCTGTGCATAAACGTTACCTAAAAAGTCACTTAGCTAACATGCCCAAGCAGGCCTAGGCCGAGTACATGATGTAGTACTAGTAGTACTTTGTAGTAGGCCCATATACATGATATAGGCCTAGTAGTTCCTAGCCTAGGGACATAGTAGAAGATGACCGATTCCGTCCAAAATCGAAAAGGCACAATTGCAGAATACCTAGCCCCACAAATACTAGGCTGTAGTCATGGTAGGGGCTCGCTTTTACAATCTGTCTCTTATCTGTCGCCACCGCTGACGACAGATAAGAGACAGATTGTAAACTGGTGACAGATAAGAGACAGATTGTAAAAGCGAGCCACTGCAGCCCTATTTGTGGGGCTACGGAATACCCTGCCACCCACCTCTTCCACATCGTAGCCAGCTACGATGTTGCGCTTGACCGCTCACACAAAATAAGCACATCACCTACATGTACATGACCTAATCATAAAGTGCCCGAATTAGAACTGCCCATGTTCGAATTGCCCGTTTTTGAATAGGCGGCTGATTTCATTAATCGGTCAATTAGACTTTCTCTTATATTCGTAGCTTTGGAGGATATTTTTTGAAGGGAAATAAGGTTCTCAAATCAGACTTTCTCCCGAGTCCTGTATTCGTGGGTTGGGAAGATTGTAGCCGGCTGCGGGGTACTTGCTTTGGGCAGAACTGTTCACGCCCTCCCCATTCTTTCACCGTTGCCTCATTTTGGGATTGCCGCCTTTGCAACATTGTAGCGGGCTACCGGGTACTTGGTTTGGACTTCGTTTTATTCTCCTATCACCATTCATTCAGCGTGCATTCATTGACTGTGCATCCCCATCTGGAATCCCCTTCAGTTACTTTGTACATTTCGCCCAGTTGCTTCATTGCCCACTTGCAACTGCACCCATTTGATTTTGCAGCTTGGTCTGCGCCGCACTACGCCCACTTCGACATTGTGGCCAACGATCTCAAGGGGGTCATTTTCGAGAGGCGGGGTATTCCGCAATTACTCCATCGAAAAAGAGGAATTCTATTACATGTACTAACGTTCTACTCAGTAGAGCTAGCCCAGGCCCATAGACATGATACTGATCAGTGATCAGAGCAAGGTCCTATACTATTACTTGGCCGAAGCAAGTGTTTTCTCAGTAGGCCTTCATGCTTCAGAATTTTCTCGGGTAAATTTCACTTTTTAGGACATGGTAGGGGGCCTTTTAGTACTTTGTGATGGCTGAGAGTGTAAACATTTCAGTGAAAATTGAATTCTTTCCGAACTCTTTCCATCAGTGGTACCCTTCATGTACATACATGTATGTCCCCTGCCAAATTTGAGGCTGAACAGTCAGGGTGATAGTCGTACATTGTACTAGGGACCGTCCATAAAGTACATGTATGTATGAAATATTGACTTTTCAGACCCCCCCCTTGTATGCACGGCGTATGCAATGGCTCCAATCCCCTGTATGCATGTATACGCATTCTGGAAGACGCTGGGCAGTGGTCGTTTCTGTATGACGAGTATGTTGCAGTTTACTAACAAGGAGCGTTGGCAGGGGAGGACACATGTAAATGGTGGGCTGGACAGTGAAGGATACTGGGCTGGAATGGTTTTTTGATGAACAAAAGCTGATTCTGGTATTTATTTCTATGAGAAAGTGTATTAATATGAAGATTCATTAGAGGCAAATTTTTGGTACGAAAAGAAATAGTTTCTTTTGTCTCTTTTGCACCCGATCATTTTTAGGGATGTGCATCCTGAGAGCTTGCCGATGTCAAACTGTTACTTACTCAGTGTTGAATATCAAACAGTTACTTGATCAACACCGAATGTCAGATGAAGAACGAGGAACTAACTTCACCTGTTCACACCCCCGACCAAGACCTACGGGGCCCTCCATAAAATATGTATGCACGGAGGGAGGGGGGGGGGTTGGTGCCGTTGTGTACAGAGGGAGAAGGGGGAGGGTTCAAGCCAGTGCGTACCGAAAAATGGGAAGAGCCACCGACATACAATTGGATAGATCAATTGGTAGAGCGTTGGTGCAGTGTTCCAGTGGTTGCCGGTTCAGATCCCGCGCTAATCAACTTCTTTGTTCATCTTCATAATTATCACCACCTAAATGTACTAGTAGTCAGTTTTCCTAACGTAATTAGTTTGCTGTAAAAATCTGTCGCCTACATTTGAGAGCTTCTTTGACCCCCCAAAACCTGATGTCCCAGTTTGCCTCTCTGGGAGACGGTTGTGTGTGAATTGCCATGTACGATGTACTTGAAAATAAGCTACATGTGAGTGGATGTGCATGGTGGCGCAGCTTGTTTTTTGGTTGTCCTTTTGCACTCCATTGTTTTTAGGGGTGTGCATCCTGAATGTCAAACGGTTATTTATTCAATGTTGAATATCAAACGGTTCCCTGTTCAACACTGAATGTTGAACATCGAATGTAGAACTAACTTCACATCAGTGCTATTGGTCTGTGCAGTGGCGATAGATTTCCAGTTCAAACATTTTGTACATTAGCACAAAGCGGATATTCTGAAAAACTAAATGCAGTAAAAAATTGTTTTGCTTCGTTCAAACATTGCATGTGCAGTGCACACTTTTAATGTAAACGTCATTACCATGCGCTTATTTTGCTGCAGTTCAAGAGGGTTTGGACTGGTTGTTTTTTATGTATTTTTTTTTTTATTTGGCAAAACCTAAAATTGCCAGTTGGAATTTATAGATCTTGCAGGGTCAGAGTTACATGTAGGTTTGAAGTTAATCAGCAAATTGAAATATTGTACCACTTCTTGGTCGAAGGTATTTAACAGCAGCTATGGAACCAGATACAAGCTCCACTAATGTGGTAGTGGAGAGTGTCAACCAAGCACCTGATATGGACATCTTCGAGACAGGTGAACATTCATTGGTTGAAGCAAGAGAAAGCATTGTGAGGACCACCAGGGAATCTGATGGTGACACCCTGGTGGTGACAACCAGCGAAGCTGGCGACGCGGTGCTGATCACCACGAGTGAAGCTGGGGGTGCTGTATTGGTGACGAGTAACGGCACCGACGCCATAGTCATCTCCGACTACAAGCAGATGATGGCCGGCAATGCCGTGGAGGTGTCCTCGAGTGACGTCGACAACGCCGTGGTTGTCGCAGCGAGCGAAGCCGAGTTGGGCACTGTTGTTGCAACAAGTGAAGCTGGCGGCACCGTGGTTGTTGCAACAGGTGATGCTCAGCACATACTGGGCAATGGAGGCAGCGAAAGTGCAGTTGCGACAGGCAAAACTAGCAGCAACAAGGTCATGACTGGCGATAGTTTAACCACAGGTGATGTGAGAGAGGTTGATGCTACGGTCAGTGAGCCCACGCTACAAGCATTGGACCTCACCCTACACACCGCAGGTATTCTTCTGAGATCCAGTTGGTTTCATATGTTTGAATTCTAATCATTGATCATACATGTACTTGTACTATTCCTGCAGCAGACAAGTGCAAGGCTATAAACATTTTCTGGAACTCTGGTTGACATTACGGTCTCGGCTTAAAAAGTATCATGGTTCATCTAACCCAGATGAATTTGATGCCAACTCAGTAACATGAGAATCAGCATCAGATTCATTCACTATTTTGCCATGTCCTATACAAGTCCACGTGAAAATGGTGTTTTTTAAAATTCCTTCACAGATGTAAAGGTTTTTGTGATGACTGCTGTTATGACCACAAGTCCAGAGTTTCTGTGCTTGCAAAACTTCCAAACAAATGTGGTTAATAATTTTTAAAGACAGTGATGATGTTATTTAACCACTTGGTGCTGGGGTTCCCTGTACCGGGTGCCTTTTGGGTCTGTACACATAGCCAGGGTGCCCAAAATTGGACAAAGTAGCTGGGCCTTGTAACAGAAGGCCGTACTCAAAACAAAAGACCGAGCTGCTGGGAATTACCGTCATTTTTCAGCTGGCATTAGTGGAGGTAATCCGTCTTTGTTTTGAAACAGTATACCACTGGTTGCAGCATTGATGCCCACAGGGACAAAAGTGCTGCAGCACTCCAGTGATGAGCGATACAGTACCGCTGCATGCCAATGTGGCCACACTTGAAAAGACATCGGTACATTCAGCAACGCACTCGCATGTCAGTGTTTGCGATTGTGTATTTATTATCACTGAAAGCATATATATTTTGATCTAAAATTAACAGGTACATGCACATGTGTAGGTTTAACACTGAATTTTTCACTAGCCCACTGGGCAACCAAGGAACCAAGTTTAGGTAGCCCAGAGCAAGCTAGAATTTGCTAGAATTTGTACGCTGGGCAAGCAGTATTTCGAGGCCTGTGAACATTTGTGGAGAAGAACGAATAGCCTGCCGGGAGATTTATTCTATTGATTTGTCATGTGACTTGCAGGCAAGAAAGTGGTAGACGGAGCCAGTGTTGGAGGCGGAACAGATCAAGCTGTGGAGGTGGTAGCTGTTGACACCCTCACGAGAGTCAGTGAAGGTCCAGTGGACACTGTCAGCAAACAGACTGCATTTAGCAGTGACAGAGCAACAACAGATGGGGAGTGTACACTTACTGTCACCCATGAAGACGGGACGGGTGAAGAGATCATTTTCATCTGCGTGCACGGGCAGACATTCCGATGCAAGCCTCAGACTGGTACCCGAGTTAGCACTGCTGAGCAGGGACCAGCACCATCTGACAGTGCCTGCGCTTGTAACAAGTCCAAGGTGTCACTGCAAGGGAAGGTAGCTAGCCAGGGCAGGGACCGCCAGCTCCGTACCCGAAGCCAGAAGTTCACCTGCAACAAGTGCGGCGGCAGGTTCACTCAGAAAGCGTCTCTGGACCGGCACATGATTGCCCACAAAAGTGATGAGGACAAGAGTGAAGAGGAGATTACAGAAAAGGGGGAGGTCCAAGCTGAGCAGGAGCCCAAGACAACTGGAGGAGACACCTTGTCCAGGAAAACTCGGCGGCTGCTGAGGGGAAAAGATGCCAAGGCCCCTCCCAACATCATTATGTGCCAGGAATGCGGGAAGGACTTCCGCAGAGTCAGGGATCTGGAGAGACACAGGAAACAACACCACAAGAACAAACTGAAGACGGCGTCCAAGAAACGGGAGGAGGGAATGTTGCCCACAAAGAAGCCGTTTGAGTGCAAAACGTGTGGGATGGTTCTTGAAAACAAGTACCGACTTGGGCGCCATAGGAAGAGTCACCACCTCCCGGCCAATCCATCTGAAAGGCGGTCCTGCAAAGTTTGTGACAAGGTGTTCGCCAGGCCCTTCAATGTCAAACGGCACGAGAAGACTCATCGGGAAAAGCCTGAACGGGCTAAATTGCCCAAGACATTCTCTTGCACGGAGTGCCCCAAGACATTCTCCCGCCAGATTCACTTGACGCGGCACAAGCAGCTCCACGCCAAGGCTGAGGACACGGTGATCAAGTGCCCCTCCTGCCCCGAGACGTTTGAAGACCGGTACTCCTTCAAGAACCACCACAAGATACACGTCATGCAGAGGTACACCCGTGACGTGCAGTGCGAGGTGTGCCAGAAGGTTGTGAAGGGACCTGTCACGCTAAAGCGCCACATGCGCACCCACACCAAGGAGAAGCCTTACCCCTGCCGCATCGGCTGCAACTCCTTCTTCTCTAGCACCAGCTACCGTTTGAGCCACGAGCAGCTGCACTGCACGGCGGGGCCTGATCTCCTCTGCACCTACTGCGGGAAGGTCTTTGAGAACAGAGCCCGACTGATAACGCATGAGAGAAGGGAACACCAGTCGGACCTGGACGAAAGAAATGTGCACAGGAGGCCGACCTACCCCTGTCGGCACTGCGGTAGGGTGTTCCACTTCAGTGCTGTCCGGTCACGACATGAGCGCATCCACACCAACGAGAAGCCCTACATGTGCCAGTACTGTCCCAAGACCTTTGGCCATGCCAACGCCTTGCTGTGCCACGAGCGGGTTCACACCAAGGAGCGACCCTACAAATGCACAGTGTGCAGCAAGGCTTTTTCGCAGAACACCCACCTGACCACGCACATGCGCGTCCACACCAAAGAGAAGCCGTACCAGTGCCGATACTGCAAGCAAGTTTTCTCTCACCTGGGCACCAGAAAGAACCACGAGAGGACCCACAAAGTGGCGCTGGAGCCCAACTTGCAAGGGGTCCCCCAAGGCATCCCTGGACTTGAAGGCGTCTCCTACCAGACCCCAGAGGACAGCACGGAGAGGGGGATGGAGGTGGACGTTTCCAACGGGAATCCCGAGGGGTCATACCAGACCATTGCAGACTCCAGCATGCAAGAAGCTGTCCAACAGGAGCTACCCGTGGTAGCTGCGGAGGACTTGCCACAAGCAGAAATGCAAGAAGTTACCCATCGGATCATTCTCAGTCACCCGGAGCACGAAGTACAAGCTGCTGACGTAATCTTGCAGCTATTGCAGAGTGGCAACAGAGTGGCCAACTTTGAAGGCTTGGTGCACATTGTGCAGTCACAGTAAATTTTTTTGTCTTGGAAGACTTCCAATTTGCGGAAGTGAAAACTGCGTTCTAATTTTTTATCTCCATAGTGTAAATATTCTAGAAATGCTAAAATAGCACTCTATATTTTGGTGATGCCAAATGTTATATGTACGTGTAGTTGAGGACAGTGTCGCGTCCAAAGGAGCTCCAAGTCAATTCCAGTCACAAATTATTGAAATGAACAATGTCAAACATTTCTTGGTCACCAGTCTGGCCATTTTTTTTCCTGCATTTATCTTGGCCACAGCTCTGGTTTGTGAGCTCATAGTTGGATAATTAGTTGGAAGTTGCAGTGTTTTCACTCCTGTATGGGCAGTTTTCTTTGACAGTCAGTTTACTGTGCGAAATGTGAATTCCTCTGATCTGGTTATTCTCTTTATAGTGCAAAGATAAATCTTATATAATGGTGTAAATTCAGCAACTGAGAAACAGTTGAAGAAAAAAATAATAGTCTACTCCTGATGTATAAAGAACACTGATATAATAAAATGGTGTTAAACGAGCACATTCTGTTTTTCTACTCCTTTGATAACAAAGTCCTGGTTGTAACAAAGTAACTTCTCTGGTCCCTACAACTTCATCATAACGAGAGCTGACTGTATTAAAAGTGTGTAAATATCATCATGGGAAGTGTGCTTTTTGAGGTTGTTTAGCTAGTTTTGCATGTGCAGCTTATAAATGTTTACGTGTACAATGTCGGTGTATTTTCATTTAACCCCTTCGCACCGGGAAGCGGCTATAGCTGTCGTCAAGGGGTTAACCCCTTCTCAATGGGAATTTCTTTCTGAAAGCCGACTCCAAGAATTCCAGCCTCGCTTGGCCAAGAAGGCCACCTGCCAAACTGCAAAATCTCGGTTTGTGGCTCAGCGTGCTCTGCACGCTTTGAATTACACTGTGCAAAGGCTGATTGTTCGGTGGCATGCAGCTCTACTCAAGCTTCCACATTCCCGTTGCTTCTTTTCAAAGTAGGGACTATTGTGAAGCTGGTGATTATGATGCAAATTCGGTCTTTTCATTTCTGGGCTACACACAAAGACCAACTACCATATACACAAGAGCCAGGGTCTGCCTTCTTTCACCGTGTTCGCTTGAGCGTGGGCCGAGAATAATAGCTGAAAAGCGGGCAGAGGATCTCAATTTTTACGGCATTTTAAGCGTCCCGGCGTGAAGGGGTTAATAAAGTGCACCCTCTAAAAACAGGTCCCAAGAATCTTGTTCACTTCCTGTAGACAATGCAATGCTGGTTTACCCACTAGATGCTAGTCTTGCTGCCAACATTCAGCAGAGCACTCTCCTGCATTGCACATGTGATCGAACAGCTTAAACAAAAATTCTGTTCAACTAAAATACATGTCAAAAGATCAGTGGTTTCCTATTCCAAAGATGCTGTAAGGCAAATGTCTATAAAATCTGTAATTCTTGATTAGTTTGGAAAGCAGAATGCATTAGTACATGCATGAACTTCAAGGAATTTATGTGGCCAACATCCAAAATTTCCAGTGTCTAGAGGTTTCTTTTTTTTTGGTTTAACTTTCAATTTGGAAGAAAAACAGTAACTTGTAGCAATCCGTTTTAAATTACTGTGACAAACTTCAAAATAGCCAGTGTTTTTCCCCCACACTAACATCTTTGGGTGTGTCGACCAGACATTCATCTTTATGGATGTTTATTCTTGATTCTCATACACTGTAAATATAAGGTACCGTTGAAACACTGATGTGTAACATTGTTATAGTAATGATTTCCAACCACAAAAGATGCAGTGATTTTACGAAAACTTTGTTTCCTTGGACACTTAATAAAAATGAGAGGTGTTAATGCATGTACACTGTACACTGTCCATTTAAATGTAAAGCACAATACTCAATTTTCCCAACTGTAACTTGCCACTCTCTCCACTGCACACAAGTCTGACCATGATTGGAACTATGCAAAAGAAGCTCTGGAAACAACCTGCCAGTCTAGTTTCAACCTTTACATTTGGATCATGCTATGAGGTTGGGGCACCATTTGTGACGGTGTCCATTGTTTCGTGGGTTCCGTAAAAATGAACAGCTATTTGCCTGCATGTGGATTCCAAATTCTCCATCTTGCAAGGCTGAATAAAGTGGTGAATGTTACTTTTACAGAGTAAATGACCAAGTTTACACATCATGACAGGTGGTAAAAGTTACCTATGTAACAAGGACACTCACAAATTGTGCCCCAACCTCATGGAATTACCCATTTGGAAATGTTTACCAAATGTTAAAAATAACCCAAAGGTAATAACCCATCCCTTTCTAGTCTGAAGTACTAACAAAATGTGCACTGCATAGCTGTCCACTGTTGAGACCGTCCCGCAAACAAAGTCACAGTTTGCTTTGCCTAACTCTTCTCATTGTTAAATGGCAGATTGACCGCCTAGTCGTCCCCGCCGAACCTCTTCAACAACTGCTACGTTCAACTGCTTGAACTTCACTGAGTCCAGAGGCAGGGGTGGACTGTTCTCGGTGGTGCCAAAGATGTGCTTGAGGGCAACCCGCGCTGCTTCTTCCTCAGCAATGGCCAATGTCTCCCCAGGGCCTGAAAAATAGAGATAATAGAGCAGATCATTGGCATTGAGGCCACAGACAGTCATTTTGCACAAGGTCAATGGTCCGATGTAAGCGCGGGATGACAGGATGTCCATTGGGGTCCCCAATGATGGTAGCCTGTAGTCAAGAGGAGGACTACAATCCACATAGCACTAACAGTGCTTGAGAAAAGACTAGTGCACACTTGATTTGCATTCATAACGACAGCCTGCTGCATTAAATGGTTCACTGAAAGAATTCTACACATGCGCTGCTTATACAAGAATTTCAGTCAGCGTACAATGTACACAGATGTGCCCAGAAGTGTGCACCTTGGAGGTCTCTCTAAATTCTGGCATGCATGAAATTGCCAACAGAAATACCCAAATTGGAAAAAGCATGCACCTCCAAAGAAAAAGTATGCTTCCCAAAATGCCTTTGCCCGTCATGTGCAAATTGTTCCTACTGCTGAATTAATTTACCCCTGGACAAAAAGTTGAAGGCATTTGCGTGTCTCTGGAACACTTGAAGATGGTATGGTTACTGTGACTTAAAATTTTCCTCCAAACCTTGAGATAGAAAGGCAGCCACATTATTGTCCTGATATGAAATATTAGCAAGAAACCTTTGGGGAAAAATGACCAGTCTTCACATTGCGAGTTAACCATTAATTAACCTCAATGTCTTTGATGCTAAATTTTTTTGCTCATTTGACCCTTTTTGTTTTACTGAAATAATTAAATCTATATAAAACCTAAATACATGTAAATCAAAAGGTCATGAATTCCTCACCCCATCCTAAGAGCTTTCTATCACTGTAAACTCCCACCATGTACAGAGGCATTATGGTCGATGTACCAACTTGCCGTAGGAGTCTAAAAAGCAACAAGACAGAAAGCAACACTACAAGCTCAAGAGAACAATCCGTGCAATTCACTCAGAACCTATAATAGGTAAATGTATGGACAATTAGTTCCTGGGGTTTCTATTGAGACTTTCTGTTTTCAAATGCACAATGTGTGACCCATTTTGATAGATCTCTACTTGTGATGATAACACCTGTGATTTGAAATTCAGAGCACCGATTTTAAAGCATGTGAATGAGGTCGACGGGTAAACTTGAGATCACTAAATTTTCTCACGACTCAATCTTCTCTTATCTAAAGAATGCGATCCTCCAACCACGTGTTTCATCAAGTGGAAAATATTTTCCGTAACTCTTGCAGATGGCATGGTAAAGTGACCAGCTAAACGCCGGTGCCACTTTGGAAACATCAGAGAGATTTATGGAAAATGTACACATGCCATCATTGAATGCTACAGGGCGTATTACTCATGTTTATGACAGGCAGCATCGGAAGTCATTTTGCAATGTTTAAAATATTGCAAAATGACTGCCAATGCTGCCTGTGTTGCTGACCGAAACTTACAACATCAGGTGCACATTATGTTTTGTCTTAATTGCATATTATGTCTTGGTTAAAGATTAGATATCTATGCACCTGACCTTTGCCAACAAGTTAAAAGATGCGAGCCTCTTTGCCTCAATGGCCTTTCTTCAACCAGGAGTACAGTTTATATAAATGGGTACCACCATTAACTGGTAAGCAACCTGCGATGGACTGGCATCCCATTCTGGTGGGAATCAAAATATTCTCAGTCATTCAATGCCAAGGAAGCTGGTGATAAACACACCAGCCTGATGGGCAATACTGCATCAAAGGGACTCGGCTGCTTTGCTTGCCCAAAGACACAACACATGGCCAGCAGCTGGATTCGAACCCCGGACCCGTGATAGTGAGTCATGAACCCAAACAACTAGGCTACTAACCCCCTCCCACACATCCCATCCACACCTACCTGACCTCGGGTGGGGCTCTGCCTTCCCTTTCAAGCAGTTCCACCAGCAAGCCCATCGGATTGGTGATGGGCCATAGCTCATTGATGTCTTTGTCCACCAACTGGGACAGGAGGAAATCGCGGACAAAGAGACCAGCCCTCTCGGCACTCTAAAAGTAGATAACACAAGCACTGCCAATTACACCGTGGATCCATACACCAGCGTCCTACCCCCATTCAGAAATACAGTACGGTGAATGGGAACCAGACTCCCACTTCAATACAAAAAAACTGAAATTATCAATGCTGCATTTGATCAACTGTAAAAGAGAGTCACAAGTCACCAGAGCCACTTACGAAATCACAGGCTACGGAAAGAACCTTGCACCACAGAAATCAATGGGGACCCTCAACATTTTTCACCTACCCAATGTCCATTTTCATCACGAAAAGCTCAGCATGCTGTGTCTAATGCAAAATGAAGCACGACTACCGAGAATAACCTTATGACTCATTTTCCCAGAGCAGGTCGAGTGCTCTGAAACAACTAGGGCCGCGTCCGCAGGTTACAGTGGCAAGAAATACCACACATTCCTACTGAACTCACATGTATTGAAGACAGAAAAAAAAAATTCCAGTTATTTTATCCCCGTCATATTCCATTTGTCTGTGTGGACATCTTCAAGATTGTCCATCAAAAGAAATTCTTCAAACCACTGGGGTGGCCATTCAAATTTTAACTGTGATCAGAAAACGACTCCCTGTCTTAATGTCGTCAGACGTGTGTCAAAGAGCCAGCTTACAGTGTCTTGAAGTATGGCTCCCACTATGGCCTGAAGAGCAGAGCTTGCGACTTCAGGGGGTGTAGGGAAACCCTGTTGGAAGACAAGAAGTGTGGTGCAGCAGGAGAGTGGACATGTCTGTTTGTCATGATAAACTCTTTGTCTTGAGGGACGATTTGAAAATAAGTGAATCCAGGAATGAAACAAACAGTGACACCCTTGCAGCTCTCGCAGGGGTGAGATTAGGGGATGACGAAAAATCCACAAAAAAATTGGGCAGAGAGGTTGCAACGATGACGGTAACATAACAGTGTGACTTTTCGGGGCTTGTGACATGACCTCTCTCCCAACTGGCTTTCATTATGCGAATTTTACACGTGGTTGATTTTTTTTTTTTCTGCAGAAAGTGGCAAAGCCTGAATTATTCTCTGCAAATCTAAAAATTTTGGATCGCAAATACTGAAATCTGGGAAAAAAACCTGAGAAATCGCACTCAGAGAAAGAAGCTCGGATGGGTTTGCCAAGGAAAAATTAATTCTTCACTTACTGCACACAGAATGATGTCTCTCAAACCAAGATGGCTGCCGACATGCACTAGAAGCTCTGGTCTTGTCAGATAGTCACTAACTGCACTGTGTTGCAAAAGACCAATACTGTGTTAATTTCACAAAACATGCTGTATTGACATTTTAATGCAATCACCCTGAAAATACCACATGAACTTGGTACATTTTGTGCAGAGAAATCTCAAGGAATACTGGCCAGTGGCTACAAGCGCACTGAAGGCGTTATCGTACTTCACTGTTTTAAGTGCGGTGCTGCAACGGAGTCTATGACTAGTCCGGTCACAAACAACTAAGGATATACAATGATTTATAGGAAGAGCTGGGGGTCCACTACAACACTTGTGAAGAACGCAGTCGTAACAAACACTGGAAGATTGCTTTGTAGAATGCATGCTGGACAAGATTTCCTTCTGTGATGGTGCCTCTCCTTGGCTGACACCTGAATCGCCATTGTGGCCATGTGACTAAACTCCATGGATTCAAGCATTTCTAGATAAACCTGTGCAAATCCTGCAACATACAGGACAAGCAAGCGAACTCAAACGGCACGTGGGTTCCAAGTGACAAAGGCTACGTCAGAATCACTTGGCTGCAGCTTGAAATGACACATGACTCTATGAGACCTGGCTGAGACCCCTGCCACAAACTTCTGTGTATTTTCAAGCTGCTTTCAAGTAAGTTGGACTCAGCCCAAAGCACCCCCCCCCTTTAATATGCAGAGCCTATGCTGGGCACGGTTCTTCCCACAGACTTACCAGATTCCCTCGTCAGGAAGTTTTGGGTAGACACGCCTCAAGTAGGCTTTGATGTAGTCTGAGATAAAGACCCCACCTGCAGGCAAGGGTGGAAGGCAAAAGACCACATTCTAAACTCGCTCACAAACCGGTATTCAAATTTACTTCAATCTTCCTCACTATTTTCGAAGATTTTGAAGGATTGAGGCAGTGGCCAGCACTCCCAGAAACACATTCTAGAAATAAAAGATGATTTATGAGGACTATAAAGCTGTATCCAATCTTTACCTGGAGGCAGTTGGAGGATTTTGAGGATTAATCTTAGCAGAATGGGCCAAAAAGGGGGAGGGGAGTTATGGTTAAGGAAGCATAGGGGGATTTTATTGGCTAACTGCCCAGTATTGCTGACATTTGCTTTCTGAATCAATATCCAGCCACATTTCAACAACGCCCATCAGCTCTAATCATCACATGATTCTGTACATGTCGATGGCAAGCAACAAATTTGACCTACATGTTGTCGAAGACACAAAAACCATCCATTTTCATCGGTTGCCAGACTGAGCAACACACATCATATCAAAGAGCTCAGTTTTCTCTGTCTAATGTCAGCTGAAATCGATTTACTACAGCACTGACCATAAGACTCGTTCAGTGGGATTTGATAAGACATTTCCTGTGGGTAGCAAGTTCCCGCACATTCCCAGCTCCATAAACTGGCACCTAGTGTCCTCCCATTCATGTCTGCTCACCGGTTTGTGCCAGTTCCTGGTTGTCTTCAATCTCCAGCTTGACCGAGTCTCCCGTCACTCCCATCTCCTCCCGCCTCGTCTCTTCCTGCTCCACGTAGCTTTGGTCGGTCAGGGCCGTTCGCAATGTGGCATCTGTGAAATCCTCACCCAAACGCTTGCCAAAAGCATAGAGTTCACTATCATAGTCCCTAAGGTTTCAAAAGCCCACAAAGTATATTTTTCCCTTAATGCAATCCTTATGCAGGCACTTTAAAGTTTTAATTTTACTTTTTTGCATTGCTGCCTTTTCATTTTTTTTCTGTGACGCAAATTTGCATATTCATGAGCAAAAATATGAATCAAGGCAAATTGGCATATTCATGAGCCAAAATCAGAGTCCAGGCAAGTTTGCATATTGATGAGCAAAAATTGAAAATCAAGGATAAAACCCAAATGTCCCAACAATGGTACTGCAGTTAGGCTAACCCAGCTGTTACAAGGCACTTCTGTGTACCATAGCATGCGACACGTGTCACTTTGGATGTACATGTATGAATGGGCAGCACAAGCCGGCAGAATCTAATTTTGGTTTGTACCAAGGATGAAATGCCAGATTAGCATTTTGTATTTTGGGATACATGTATGTACATGTAGTTTTGGTTAATTCTGTCAGGTGTGAGCCATGAAAACATGGAGAAAGTGAGAAATATGCTGAATGTAACAATAGTTGAGTCAGATCAACTGCAGTGCTACAGTTGGGACTGACGCTATAGTTGGGCCACAATGAATCGAATGCTGCAGCAGGAACTGTACACTAGCAGGGGTGATGTAAATTTTAATGTAAGAAGCAGACTGACCAGTTTTCTTGATGTGATCTGGGCTTCTTTTCTTCCGGCCCATATTTCTGCTTGATAGCCTTGATTTGTCTCTGAAGTGCAAACAGGAATGGAGCGAACCAGCGGGCATGGTACCTCACCTCTGGAAAAGGGTAAAAGAAACGTCCAATAATTCTTTGTTAGGTTTGCAACTGCTTACTGGCAAAGTAAAAGATTTATTAAAAAAATTCAAAATACTGGGTTTTCTTTGGCATTTGCTGCTCGTGCTTCTTGATGCAATTACACCCAAACTATGATCCCAGTAGATCCCCATCTGATGATGAAAATACATGTAGCAAACAGCAATTCACTTCCACCTTAGGATCAAGTGTGAAATCCTCTCTCCTGCCATTTGGGCATAAATAATGTGGAGCCCTGTAAATGGTCCATGTGACACCCAGCATGCCATTTATGGCCAACTGCCATTTCAACCAGTCAGGTCAGTCGTGGCTAAGACTACAAATTATGGGAAGCGGCTGCAGCCAAATTCCATATACTTGTGTTCATGTATCAATTGCAGCCAAAGTCAACCGTTTGGCTGTGGCTTGTCTTCACAAGTACACATGTGAACCTCATACATGTAACTCTCAGATGCTGATTGGAAAGTAGGTCGATCTGTACATTTCATTTTGCCATTTCTGTCATCACGGTTATGTCTACAGTGTAAAACCAGTATGGTTTCGACCCTATTTTAATGGTACACAAAACACAGGCGTGTAAACTGGGTAGAGTTCCATGTACGAATGCTGGTATTTAAATCATTTCCCACAGTGACTTAATAGCCATCAGAAAGCAAAAATATGTCCAGAAAAGCTCAAAATTTAGGAGGGAAAATACCGAGTTGTTTACTGAAAAAACACTTTGAACTTTTCAGACAAGTCTCAAAGGGTTTAGGCATGGGCACCGGTAGTCCAGTGGCATCTGCATACGCAACTCATTCCTGTAAACCACCTACATGTACACGTACTAGTGGATTTTTTGCCAAATGGAGTAGTATTTCTATGATTAAACACCTATAAAAAATCCACGCTAAACATCATGTACATGTAGAACCAATGGCAGAAAATGTCTTTTTATTATTCGGACATTGTTCATAACTTTTAGCACCCTGTTCGTATAATAAGGAAACAAAGTCCACTTCTTCAAACTACATGTATATGTAAGTGACATTTAGACATTGAGGATCCATTTTTGCCAATACTTAAGCAAGAAAACAACAATTTTGTTACCCGAATTTGGCTAAAGACAACTACCCAGTCAGACCACACCATTTTGTTTCCTGTCTGGTTACCTGACCCAGCCACTGTGAATATATATGAAATTTCATCAATATACATCAAAAGAATCTTCATCTAGGTCAAGTTTATGTGCGTTTGACATGGAGCATGCTGGGTTCACGCAACGAACTTAGCACACTGAACGAATGCAAGAACCCATTGGGAAACTTAGAATCATCCGTCTCTCTTTCTCTGGTGAGGGTGCACTTCAGCTCAGGGTGGATACAGTCATTTTCCTAATTCCGGATCGCAAAAAATATTCAGTCAGATTGCAGCTACAAAAGATCTTTAAATTCCAGTGAAATGTGGTCAGTAGTCCACCTTGTGTGTTAAAGATACCACAGAATTATTTTCAAATTCTAAGCTTTTAATTCGGGCAAATACAAAAACAACGAAAAAGGCGACAACACTTTTCCCTGTTCTGGATTGGTTTACCCAATTCTGGAAAGTTAATGTACCATGCGAGAAATCCATTTTTCAGCCAGAAACATTGTGAAAAGCTGATTTTCTAATGAAAAATTTCTTAATTTCGAGAAATTAAATTTATAAGTGAGAATTCCAATGAATTAAAAAAGTGGATCTTGTGTAATTTTGACTTGACTTTTTAGCTATCAATGATACTATCCCCTCGCCGCACACTTGACAAGCCCACTACATCACATACCTTTCTGCTACATCCACATAGTAGTATATGTAAGTTGAGTTTGTAATGTATATTGTGTGCAGTTAATGCGCAATCGGAAACTAGAAAAAAAAATATGCATTCAGTTTTCGGCCAGTTTTAATCAAACAGAAACCTTAGAAGTCATCGAGTATGAAAAAAAAAGGATTTGGGATCACACGTAGTGAGTGACATATTGCCCTGTAAATATTTATCAATTTTTTTTCGCTTCCATGCTTTTGACAAACAGTTCAAAATTGTCAAGGTGCGAATCGGAAATCTGGCCAAAAATTCTTTTTCTAGAAATTTCAGAGAACAAGTTTTGTACAACAAAAAGCTTACATTTCATCTTTTATTTTAAATGGCACTTGTCTGAGAATGTACATGAAGAACTGAAGAACAACACAATGGAGGCACTGTAGGTTTTATTTCAAGCAATCTGGAACTAGGAAAAATCCGGAGCTAGGAAAACAACTGTGATCAGGTAATACATGTATTCAAATATATAGCTAGGTCAGCACAGGTGCAAGATCGATTCAAAGTGCAAAGATTCACCTACTGCGACCACCATTTTTATAATACCTCAGAAATTAGGCTCGTCTATCTACTACATGAAATTCCCTCCCATTATTTTACACGGTTGTTTTAGCAGACGACTGGCAGGCTTGGCTGAGTGGACGTGTCTCAACTGACGACTTGTCTCAACGGTCAGACAGTCGACTTGTCTCAACGGTCGAGTTGTCTCAATAGTCGAGTTGGCAAATGGTCGAGTTGTCCAAACCCAAAGCAAACTGGCCGATTCGCTAGTGACTCTGAGTTCTCATAAAGTACAGTATGGTCAGGGAGTCCACTTGGGCTAGGCTAGGGCTAATGTTAGGGGCCACCTGCCTCCAACAAATTCAGCATCAGTCCCAACTACAGTTAGGACTGTCCCAGCTACAGTTAGGACTGTCCCAACTACAGTTAGGACTGTCCCAACTACAGTTAGGACTGTCCCAACTACAGTTAGGACTGTCCCAGCTACAGTTAGGACTGTCCCAGCTACAGTTAGGACTGTCCCAACTGGAGTGTTATACAGTAGTTGGGACAGCCCAACTCATATGTGATTAATTAGCTGATATGTGATTAGTGTAGGTCCCTAGACCACAGATATCCCAGACGTCTCTTTACACAATCTTAACGACAATAGTCGGAATTATCGGGACTGGTATCCAAAGCAACATAAATGTTCGTCAGGCAAATACACTGCGTCTGTTTGGTCGCGTGACGTACGGCCACAAGAGAATGCAGATGTGTAAGGATCGTCGAGGGATGTGAGGTGAGGATGGTAGAAAAAATCTCATTTTTTGACAATACTATAGGTCAAATTCTACAAATACGCTTGAACATGGATGTTCGATATCTATAGAAGTTCATTATGACATGTACATGTATGAGGGTCTTTAGGGGTAGATTTGCTCCAGGTACAACTACCTGACCATGGCAGAACACTTTTCAAAATGCCATATTGTACGGAACCATCCAAAAGATAAATGCAGTAATGGAAGGTCTGTGGAGTAGTACTAGTAGTAGTAGTCGGGCCCCTGTTTACGGGTCTAAGTTAGCTCTACTGAGTGGAGCATTAGTATTCCTCTTTTTCGATTGTGGACGGAATCGGTCATACTAACGCTCCACGACATTACATATAGTGAAGTGACAACAGTTCTCCAAAATTCAAAAGACGTTGACTTGGACGTTGTCTTCATTTTATTACGACTGATGTCCAGGGTCTAAGACGTGTGTACAAAACGACCACAAATTTGGCTCTAATTTGTTCTTGGTTTACCTTGTTGAAGAAACTAATTTTTCATATTTACAAGTTCTTTGTGGCCTTATCTATGTGTCTGGGGGTTTAGGAATTTCAGAACGAACCATGGAATGCAAAATTGAGGAAAATAAGTGAGAAACAACGTTAATTTTGTAGATGTACATGTAATTCATCCGTTCCTGAGTTGTAGGGTGCACACATGTACAGGAATTCGAACTGCATGCATGCACTACGCGTGCACGATTTCCAGTGAAGGTCTGTTGCTTGCCTGCTACACGGAGGCAGTGACTGGTACCGCCTGCCGTCGAACCGATATAAAAAATGCAGTTCTGTTTTGTCAGATCAGGGGCTTCAGACTGACCAATTAAACCTCCTATTGGTTACCCCTAAAATGTTCAGTTTTTGTTCTGCTTTATTTTTCAGTTTTAAACATAAATTTGCAACACAGCTTGCTATTTTATAAGAATAACCTCGGTTAGTGTAGAAGGCTGTGTATATGCAGGGCTCTTGAACGGGAATACATGTAACTTCATCAATGATCTTTCTTTGAAGTGTTTAATTTGTTTGTAGAGTTTTATTGGTTAAAGATGTATAAATAAACAATATTGTGGTAATCAGATTTTTATTAAAATGAAGCTGATACTTGAGGAATAAAAAAAAGACGATTACACTGTGGGCATGATGAGTGTGATGAACAAGTGACGAGAGCTTTGCTGATCGGGAACACAGTATGCAGAGGCGGTACTGGCGCGCGCAGGTGCGGTAAGTGGCGATCATGCACAAATTGTGCTGTTGATCGGCCTTTCCTTTTTCTATTCGTAAACTAAACATACAATAAGCAGACTGAATTGGTAATTGGCAGTGACAAGTTGGATTTTAGAGCAATGGACATATAGCTAGACTAGATGTTGAAGTTTTAAAAAGAACCCGAAGTCAGGGCACCCGACAGGTGCCGCAGATGCATAATTCATGTTGTCACAGTATTGCTTAGGTTGTGCACGCACTTTGCTAGTGTACAGTCCGCCCACAGCACGTGTGGAGCATGATACAGCACATGCATATTAATGTTATTCAAATTTAATTTCACCGGTTCCTTATTCGTCTGTCACGCAAGGTATGACAGGGAACCAGTTTTGTATAGTACAACGTATACCAGAGCGCCTGTCAGGTGCCTTGAAATCCCATGCAAGAAGTGCCGCTTTCGTTTTTCAAAATGGTGGCGCCCATGGTCAGCAAGTAATACTACAGGAATACGCTGGTGTAAGTAAAATTGTTGAGTCATTCTCATTTCGGAAGATATTAGAATTCAAAGTTTGTGACAATCCTGCAGTTTGGATTTCAGGCATTTAAGACATGCCTTGAAGTAGGGCTGTGGTGGCGACAGATAAGAGACAGATTGTAAAAGAGAGCCACTACAGCCAGTAATGGGTCAACTCGTACCCCAAAATTTACACCCAGGTTAAGTCGTACCCGAGTCAAGTCGTACCCACATCAAGCCGTACCCAAGTCAACTCGTACCCTATGAATTTCCACATTGAATCTGTGGTGCAACTCCTTCACACCGAGGCATTGCTGGGACACCTGCAGGTGAGGTTGGTAAAGGAGTCCAAGCTTCGCCAGTACCAGCAAAAGTGATTCAAGACAATGCAGGCAAAGCTTATCAAGATCTGGCAGCAGTACCAGGTTGGGAAGCTGACAACGTCCGAGCTTCTTTCTACCTGCAAACAGTGCAAGCACCTGAATGGTCCTGCACTGTAGGACAACCAAACCAAACGGCACTTTTCAATTTCAGGGCAACCACTATCAAACCAAACAGGGCCACCACATTTTCCAAAAAGAGATATGCTTTACCTTTAAAGAATAAAAAACAAATTATTTTATATTTTTTTTTAAAGTTTAATAAATAATAAAGTATTTAAAAATTATTTGAAATATATTTCTTAAAATTTTGTCGTAATAGAAATCGCTAAGTTGTTACTGTTGTTTTCACCGGCAATCTCAGGGTATGTTTGTGCTGCCTTATATTCTGAATCTAATTCTGAGAATAAAAATATTTGTTGAAATCCCATCACTTGTACAAATGCTTGTACTGACTATGAAAGGGGGTACTAGTTAACTTGGGTAGTAGGTCGAAGTCACGTGTGGGCAGGTTTTCAGTCTATCCTCCCGCGGACAGAACTGGCAGTTTAACATTCAGGCCTATGAAATTCGGCAATTCCACTTACCTACTCGAGTTACTGGTAAAGACTTCCTCTGAACAAAAGAATTTGTCAATTGCCTGGCATAAGTCAACACATGTCGCGTACAGACGGTCGCCATTTTTACTTCCTCAGAGTCATTAGAGGCTGCATCCGAATCTCTCGTCTAGAGCTAGGTCTAGGTCTTCGCTCCATTGGAAATGCGTGTAGACGTGCAGACAATAGACCCTGCCGTAGCTCTGGAAGCCCGAACAAGGGCCATTTTCCAATACTCCACTTCGGCTCCGTCTCAGGCTTCAAATGTTTTTTAACTAGCTGACTTTGAAGCTGTAAGCGCACTAATTAGTCTAACAGTGCCGCGAAACATCAAATAAGATGCAAGAGATCAGAAATTACAGTAATCAAGTTTAATTTAAACGCTTCAGGCCCACAATCGGGGATTGGTTTTGGGAACGAAGCCTGAACGGAGCCCAAGTCGAGTATTGAAAAAGGGCCAAGGCCTCTGATTGTACATGTATACAGCGCCCTCTGCCGAATTCAACTTCTACTGTATTTAATTTTTGAATCAGTACAGTCTGAATACCAGACCCGATGATTGCCTAGGCCCGATCAAGGGCCGTTTCCCAATACTCGACTTTGGTCCTTTCAGGCTTCACTGTTCGTAAGTGTGACGCCACTTCAGTTTAAACCACGCCCACTGCACAAGATACACGACCATCGCGGGTACGTTAGTTCGCGGTCAATTTTTTCTTTTGATTTTACGTGTCAAGTCATCCTGAAAGACTCTTCCACAAAACTTTTCAGCCTGAAAAGTCTTAATTTAACATACCTTTATGTATTTTGTGTCTTGACTCCTTACTTTCAATCATCTGATCGTATTAAGAATTGAAGCTGACACATACAGCCTCGTTTTCAAACGCCGCGGAAGTGCGCTGATCGACGCTAAAAGCGTCGTATTGGGATCCCTCTGTACTGGGACGGCCGGTATACTTCTATCCAAACAGACACGTCTCTAGCCGCTCGTCACGGTGCCGTCCGCGTAGCACTCCTGAAGAAGACAGCGCCCTCGCGAGTCCTGTTTCCACAGAAGGGGTGTGGAAGTCTTCCCCCACTGCACCTTCCCCCCCCCCCCGCAATTCACCTCCACCTTTCCCCGTCCCCTATTCCCCCTCCCCCAATTTCCGGCACATTTTACGCCACTGACGTTTTCATATACTAGTAGCATTAGTTACTTCCAATTTGATTTGAAATGTTAACAGTCAAGCAAAAAAAAAAGTTTTTCCATTATGTTACCACTGTTGGTTTGATTTGCTTTGGAGAATTTCAAAAATGAGAATCAGTTTTGTAGCAAAAGGAAAAATGTTTATGATGAGGTTATAGCCTAGACTTGTTATGCTCCTGAATGTTTACCAGCAAATTTTCCTTTTGTAAAATTTGGACTTATGAAAAGTGACTGCACTCCTGCGAGACAGACAGCTAGTGTACCATGGCGAACTATCAATTCACAGCAACTGTTGCAGGTATCGTAAAATGATATTTTAGGCTACACCCGTCTAGGTGGAGACTGATCTTCTCCCACAAAGAGAAACAACCACCAGGAAATTTGAACTAATATTAATGATGCAAGAACATTCCGTAAAGTCACTGTCGTGTTACGGCTGTTTTGAAACATTGCATTTCATCTGCACCTGAGCGGGGAAAAGAGAGGAAGTATTCTGATATGTGCTGGTGCGGACAATTCAGATACAGAAATTAATACAGT